GGTTTTGTGGGTTGATGCTGTTAAGTGTCCCTGAAAGTTGGACCCTGCTCTTAGTACACCATCAGCCATTTTCTCCCTTGTATTGTTCTGTGAAACAGCAGGTGCATGAGAGGCATAACCTTTCATTGAACCCAGAATATGCGGAAGCCAATCTAAACTAGTTGCTAGGGAACTTAGTTATATAGAAGAATGAGTATAGAATTTAAGAGGTTATGGTGACCTGAGTTGTGGTGACTTGAATTATGGGAACAGGAATGTTAGTTTAAATTTCATATGGCAATTGTGTATGCATGTACTTTTCCCAATATTGATTAACTTGTGATTGATTGTATGACATATGAATTGTGCACTTTTCCCATGTTAAACTTGTATATATAAGTTTGAGAATAATCATAATAAAATTGGCACTGCTTTGCAATGGCTCTGAGTGTCCCTCCCGTTCCCATCCTTTAACTTTTCTCTCATTTTTAACTCATTCTCTTACCCCCTGTTCTAGAATTGTCACGCCGGCTGCGACAGTATGTTGTTGTTGTTGTTGTTATGTGCCGTGGAGTCGGCCCCGACTCAAGCGACCCCTCCTTGGGTTTCCGAGGCAGTATCACTACGGAAGTAGGATTGCCCAACCTATAGCACCAAGCAAATGTACATAGACTATCTAACTCTTTTCCTGTTCTCTAACTCTAGTGACCAACCTATCTGTGATTTCAAATTTGTAAATCTGAAACTCAAGTACATTATTCATGGTTTAACAGAAGCAAAACTTGATAAACTGAGTTTCCAGCTTCCAGATGATACTGAGAACTTTGGTCCATGGGAGTCAAATGATCTAAATTATATAGGATATGTCAATTATGTGAAATGTAGATTATAAGAATTAACTTTCTATTTCTTTTCTGGCTACTTTTTTTTGTTGTTGCTTTAAAACAGCTACTGCTAACAGTGAACAAAGATCAATGAGTAGTTATTAATAAAACATTTTATAAAGTACATCGATCTATTTAAACTTCTAATCAATTTAAAGAAACGTTAAAGTTAAAATGTTATTTAATTGGGAAAAATAAAAGTATTGAGTCGAAAGAGGTTGTGCGGGTGTGGGAAAGAGCACCAGGAAGAAGGGACGGCAGCTGAGATGAGGACACACTGGCCAGGCAGGCGGACATTTCCTGGTCACCTGCAGATCACGGGGCAGGGAGATTCTCCTTTTCTCTTTGCAAATGCTGTTTTGTTTGAATCTAGTTTAATTAAGCTTTTAATTTTGAGCTCATTGCAGATTCAATTTATGCCAGTGTTAAAAAATAAAATGTTCACAATCTTAATTTGTATATAAGCTCATTAGCCTTACTTTTTTTTAACTTTTATTGCGGTGAAAACATGCTCAAATAGACATTTGCAACATAACAGGTCCCACATTCACACCTCAGGGACATTGATGGCATTTTTGTATGTTGTGCCACCGTTATTGCTGTCCTTTTCCAAAATATTCCACCACCATCAGCATAAACTAAAAGCTTCCCCTTTCTCCTTCCCTCCTACCCCTGGTAATCACTAATT